CACACAACGGCGCACAGCTGCCATCTGGCCAACAGCCGAGCAACAATGGCCCCAGAAGATATGCTAGTGCTGCCGGCCATGCCTCACATGATCCATGGCCCGGCCATGCCATGCCATGCGTGGAGCTCACCTGGTCCGTGGATCCGGCTGCCTCCTTGAGAGCCGTGGCGAGCTGGCCGTACGACACGAGCTGACACACGCCGGGCCGCGCAGGAGGGGCGCAAGGGAGAGGAGGGCCGATAGGACAGGGCGAAGGAGGAGAGGAAGGGGCAGAGGAGGAAAAGAGAGGTAAGGGCAGAGGAGGATGAGGACGGTTGAGCGAGAAACGAGGAAGCGATGCACGGAACTGGGAGAAGGGGCTTCCCCCTACATGCTTCTATCCTCCTCCCACATGCCTCTCCTCCTCCCACATGCCTCTCCTCCCACATGCCTCTCCTCCTCCCACATGCCTCTCCTCCTCCCACATGCCTCTCCTCCCACATGCCTCTCCTCCTCCCACATGCCTCTCCTCCTCCCACATGCCTCTCCTCCCACATGCCTCTCCTCCTCCCACATGCCTCTCCTCCCACATGCCTCTCCTCCCACATGCCTCTCCTCCCACATGCCTCTCCTCCCACATGCCTCCTACATGCTTCTTCGCCGCGTGCACAGTAACCGCTGCTGGTTGCTCCGCGGAGATCAGTCCGCGTTCGGTGGTGCCAACGGCGGGCGTGCCCGCCTTCTTTCCGCGCAACGGATTGCGCCGCCCGCCCGCCGAGAAGCCCATGGCGGTCAAACCCGTTGCGCGCCCCGCTACCCCGCCGGGATCAGGCGCGCGCCCTCCAGGCAGCCCTCCCGGAAAGCCACCGTCGGCCAGGCCAGTGGGCGCGGCGGGGACAGAGTCGGTCAGTAGATCGGGAGGTGGAGCTGCCATGATCGGTCAGTATGCGGACTGAAAACTACCGCGCCGCGCGCGAAGGGTGGGGAGGCCGTGCAGGAAGCGCGACGGAGGAAAGCAGGGCGCGCGACGAACAGCTGCAGGGAGCGCGCTAAGAGATTAAAGGGAATAGGGTGGGCGCGGCGCTTTTAATTGACGCTTAGGGAGCGACACGAAACAGGCCTTGGAAAGGCCTTGGAATCGCTGGGCGAAACAGAAGAGAAGATGCATAGGAAATGCCTAGGTTAGGATTGGAAATGAAATTAATTCACCTAGAACGTGTTACCTCTCTGAACTTCTAACTGATCGATCCTGTCAGTGATTTCGCGATGACGCCAGAAACATGGTTGCCAATATCGCTCAGTTTCGAGAGCTTGAAATAAACAGTTGAGCACGAAGGTGTCACCTCTGGCTCGCGGCAGTTGGGCAATTTTCCCCCGTAATTTTGTTTCTTGTCACCTATAGCTCGGTTTGACCTGGCGATCGCAAATTTGCTTTTCGGCGCACTGGTGTGTTGATCGACCCTGTCGGATCGGTGTAAGATCCCAACCACCCTGCGAACCTGAAATGTTTGCTAGAGGTGAAGCGTCCTTATGGCGTGTATCCATTTTGGTTTTTGCTGAAGATCTGGCTGCGTGGATTCCAATGCAAGAAATCGAAGGACATTGAGCTCTCCGAAGTCAATCACAGAATCCATGGCTGCCTTAGTTTCTCTACGCGTTTCGTCTCATGTCGCATGCGGAACCGAAGTCGGTAACCACCAAAACCGAAACCTGTCCTGTCGCATCCGCACCGAGCACGGTTCGGTTGCGATTGACATTTTAGGTTACGGCAAAAAGTCTATTGGCATTCGCCATTCCCTATGTTTCCCCATTCCGATTTTCCCACATAGTTCTTGGCTTCTTAGGCTTCCGCCTCACCGCTCTAGCTGTGGGTTCCCACCTTACGACGACATTCCCACCGGTCCTAATGTTGTTCTACCACCCTTAAGACGAGCGCGTAAGCCGGTAAGTAATAGGGCAGCGGCGATCCACCCCAACAGAAATGTCACTTGATAAATTGACAGGCTCCGGTAATTATCGCGGGTGTGTGCATCTTGCATCATGTAGCGGTCCGTTTCGTAATAACGAGGATGCGGACCCCGAAGCGCCAGCGAGCTGTCGCACGGTGTCGTTCGACGTGTAGCACGAAACGCACTACGTCATCGTCGTCCACGGCACGTTCGCGCCGCCGGCCGGCGGACCGCGCACGCCGTGGTACCAGCCCGCGGCGCGCGGCGAAATCAACTTCTGCAGCAGGCTCGGCGCGCTTCTCGCGAAGGGGCCGCTCGGCGACGGATGCGTGTGGCGCGAGCTGCCGGCGGAGCCGCCTCCGCGACTTGGCATCCCGTACCCGTTTCACTGGGACGGCACGAACAGGCATGAAGGACGCATCGAAGCCGCACACAAAGTAATCAACGCTGTATATGTCTCCAAAGGAAGTCTGCATATGCTCCTATCGTTTTTCTTTTCCCTCGAGATCCAAACTAAATCGCAATATCAGGTCTTCGCCCCCAGTTCACCCCCAGTCAGCACACGGTTTCCGCCTTCACCTCTAGACGCCAGTCAGCACAGTCACCACCACTCCTTGCTTCTCTCCTGTCCCTTTCTCCAAATTTCCCCCATCCGCCTCTTCTCCGCTCCCCCCCACCCCCCCACTGCCCCATTCCTCCCCCCTCTCCACCTACCACCCCTTCTCCCTTTTCCTCTTCTCCCCCCTCCTCTGCCTCTTCACCCTCCTCCCTCTCTCTGTTGTCTTCCCTGTTTTGGCCCCTTATCCTGCCTCCATCAATCTTGCCGTTTACCTGCCTGCATGCACTCTCACAGCTGGCGTGTCTGCTGGACGTGATAGGGCGTGGCGACCCCTCAGCGCGCATCCACGTCATCGCCCACTCCCACGGGGGCAACGTGCTGCTCAAAGCCATTGAGCTCGTCAGTGCTGCTCAAAGCCATTGAGCTCGTCAGTGCTGCTCAAAGCCATTGAGCTCGTCAGTGCTGCTCAAAGCCATTGAGCTCGTCAGTGCTGCTCAAAGCCATTGAGCTCGTCAGTGCTGCTCAAAGCCATTGAGCTCGTCAGTGCTGCTCAAAGCCATTGAGCTCGTCAGTGCTTACCATATGAGGTAGAGGGCTGAAGGGCGGCCATATGAGAGGCGGACGAGGGGGACCAGGGTGTCCAGTTTCGTCCCCTTCAGACCCTCGAAAACCGCCGCTCGCTCCACTGCGTTGAAGGCGTTTGCGAGGTCGATCTGGAGGGCCGTTGCACCAGGGAACTCCTCCAGGTAAGTGCGGGCCGCGTGAACAGCGGCCTCAATGCCCCCCGCGATTGCGACTCCAAACTGCAGTGGGGAGAAGTGCTCACGCGCTGCAGGGGCTGCCAGGAACAGGGCCGCCTTGGCGACGATTCGCAGCAGGCATTCTCCTACAGCTATGGGCCTCGTTCCGCCCTGGGGTTTCGAGAAAGCTAGAAGGCGCGACGCTGTGAGTAAATCTGCCGCGTCTGCGCTCAATTTTCCTGCTAACGCTGTGTTGGTGAGTGCGTGCAGCTGCAAGAAGACGTCGGCGTTCCCAAGGGCCGCATCTCTCAGGTGCTCGAACGTGGTTCCTGAGGGGCCGGCTCCTACGCCGTTGGGGCATCGGGCTAGCAGCCGCCTGAAGTCGCGAGCTGCGATTGAGGGTAGATTCTCTGGTGCGAAGCCCTGCACCCAGTCCGGGATAGCCAGGGAGGCCCCTGGGTGCCTGGACGTAAGTGCGCTCAGGACTTCAGCGCTTGGCGTGCTGACAGGTGTGGCCGTCAGCGACTGGAGGGACTTTGCCAGATTCCCTCTTTTTGCTAATCCCTCTGCCCTCGCCAGCTTTCCAGTGGTGTCAGGTACATGGCGTGGTTGCAGGTTACTGGCAACCGCCCCTGCTGCCTCGTCATACAGGGCGCGCCACATGCCTTGGCGAAAACGCGTCAGTCTGTCGCCCATCGCCTTCCAGTCTGGTCTGCGAGCTGACGAAGTGCGCAACAGAATTCGCGGGAGGAACATCAGCAGCTTCCATCCAGGTGAGGAGTCAGGGTTTTTAGCGATGTGGAGAAGCGGGGTCAGCATACAGATCGTGAATGATTCGCGAAGTGGTTTGGGGGGGTGGCGGGCGAGGGGTGGCTGTCTGCTGTCGCGAAGTGGGCAGAGGTCCCAGTTGGCGACGTCAGCGAAAAGGTCCTCCCGGTTTTTCCACTCTCTCTCTCTCTCTACTATTTTCTATTATTCTTCCTCAGTATCCACTCCCTCTCCCTCTCCCTCTCCCTCTCCCCCTCCCCCTGCGTTTCCCCCCCCCCACCCCGCCTCCCCCCTGCCACCTGGACCACCCGCCGCACACACGCAGTACATGAAGGGCCAGGGAAGAAAGGACGTTTCCGATCTTCCGCCAGTTGTGTGTCAACAATTCTGGGCGGCGTACAAGAGCAGATACGATTTGATTCGCCACTGGCAGAAGCCGGATCTTTCCAATACCTGCTGGCGCTTCTTCCCCTTCCTTGTTGTCAAAAGGAGGTACGCTGCTCACCCTCCCTCGCCCGCCTCCTCTATGCTCCCCATGCGCCCAGGTTATTACTCCCCACGCCTTCACACTACTGTCTCCCCATGCGACGATGCCCACACGCGATGCCCCCGCACGTGATTACGTCTATGTTGGAAAAGATGTGTTGTGCGTTTAGCACACCCACGTATATACGGTAGACGGTGAGTGTATATCTGCCGTATACAGCCTGGGAAGGGGTCTGGTGGTACACACCGAATACACAGGCCGGGCCCTCTGCAACTTCTTTTGTCGGGTTAGAGGTGGGGATGGGCGACATGCTCTTATAGCCTTCGTCCCTTTTTTATAAGCTGATTACACGCACACACACATGCACGCACGCACGCACGCACGTACGCACACACACGCACGCACGTGCGCGCGCGCGCGCACACACACACACACATGCACTTTCCAGTCCTCTTTGCTCCTTCCCCCCTTAGCCACACCCCTTTACCTCCCTTCCCACTTCTCCCCCTGGGTGTAGCATGGGGGGGCACAGAGCAGCTCGGGCCAAGGAGCGGTACCCCTGGGCGCGCTACCGCTGGCTGGACTCCCTCCTGGGCCTGCCCTCCCGGCGCCAGCGCCTCTTCCTCGCGCACCGCCTGGCCACGAGCCCGCTGTGCAACGCGCTGGGGGGGGGGGTGTTCCTGGGCACGCCCTTCTACGTCAAGACCTGGCAGCGCCACGGCGTGCTGCTGCTGCTGGTTACCACCGCCGTGTCTGTGGGGGTGACGTTCGTGGTGATGCGGGGCTATGTGCTGCTGTGGCGCCTGCTGGTGCTGGCCATGGCAGGCGAGCTTTCAAGGTAATGAAAATGCACATGGTGGCCGTGTTCGTGCGGTGGGGGTGACGCTCGTGGCAGTGTGGGGCTATGTGCTGCTGTGGGGGGCGTGATTGTACTCGCCATTGCGGGCGAGCTTGCGAGGTCATGCGCACTGTGGGGGTACCGGGAAGTTGAAAGTTGAAAACATTGAGGTGAACGACAGAGCAAATCGCGTCTTCCTTCACACCCTTCTCTCCCTCCTATGCATACTTGCATGGCATGGCACACGTGCATGGCATGGCACCAGCACCACCACGCCTAGCTACCTGCCCTTCTCCCTCGCTGCTGCTCTTCTTGTCTTCGCTGTTGTCAGTGTGGCATTGGAGGTGGGTGTGATTTTATTGCAGTGTCATTCTATCAACATGGGGTGGGATCCAGGTGACTGAGCATGTATAGGAAGGGTTAGTGCCTCAGTGAACTATGGTGCTCCAGTTCATGGTGTTTTTCTAGTTCTGTAGATTTGAGGGTGTGTGACCGTACGATTACATTGAGTCGTGTAAGGGCAATGATGAAATGAGGAATCGTGCAATGACACTGATGTGATTGTATAATGTAGGTATGCCATTGGGTGTTGGCATTTATGTGATTGTATAAATTGTGTGGCTATAGAATGGCAAGGGGGTGTGGTAGATACACAAGGGGGCGTGTGGTAGATACCAAGGAGGTGTGATAGGCTCTATGTAGGTACACCATACCATACTCCTGGTGTGGATAATCACCATGCCCTTTTACCTTTATAATCAACCCCCCTCTCCCTCTGCTCTCCATCCCGTATTCATCCCTCTCTCTCCTCCACTCTCCTATCCCTCCCTCTCTTTCTCCTGCATTGCACTGCTCTTCATACCGACACGACCCATCGCACATCTCCCTCGATGCACTCTCTTTCTGCTTCCTCACTCTACTTTCTTTCTCCCGTCATCCGCTCTTTCCTCCCCTTTTCCATCTCTCCTCCCCCTCCCCTCTCGTCTCTACCCTCCACCCTCCTATCCCAGCTCTGGCGCAGCACTGCATTGTACAGCGGGAACATCTACCACGCTCCTGGCTTTGATTGGTCGCATGCCATGTCAGCACTCGTCATCCACGCCGGCAAATTAGACGAGGCCAGCCTGGCACTATCCACCGAGCCTATCGCCCGAGCCTACATCGTCCCGCAGCTAGCCTCCATGCTCAAAACCCCCTTCTGGAAACCCCTTCCCCGCCGCCCAACCACAAACAAATGCTCCGATTGGACGCTTTACATCAGCAACACTGCCCGGATTCCCCTGTGGAACATAATTTTCATCCTGCCCGCAACAGCAGTAGCACTGCTGTCTCGCCTGCTGGCGCCGTTGATAATCTCGGTGGTGCGAAAAGCGGTAGTGACGGTGAGCTTCGGGCTGTCTCCCAAGGAGCTGAGCTTCGCCAGTGTGTTTGTGGACGAGTGCCTGCACCTGGACGAGTGGTCGCCATCACACCACGTGCAGCATTGGAACGTGCAGGTGCGCTCACATCACATGCAGGTGCGCTCACATCACATGCAGGTGCGCTCACATCACATGCAGGTGCGCTCACATCACATGCAGGTGCGCTCACATCACATGCAGGTGCGCTCACATCACATGCAGGTGCGCTCACATCACATGCAGGTGCGCTCACATCACATGCACGCGCAACACTGCGGCAGTTGCAGCAGCGCACACCAAGATCTGAAATGTCTCAATGACTTGTGCTCTTTCATCTGCCTTGTGTTCCGAGGGGAATGAACACTCTCCTTCTAGCTTACTCCTGCCACCCGTATCCTCCCCCCTTCCCCCCCTCTCCCCCCACTTTCTCAGAAACTACTGGCGCTGGCCAAGACGCGATCGTTGCGGGGGGACGTGATGGCGGGGTATGAGGATGACACGCGTGACATGGGGAAGGCTGTACTCAGGGAGGGGCTACTTGAAGAGCGGGTGCCTCAAGGGGGCGTAACTGGGAAAGGGATAGCTGATGAGGGGTCGAGTGGGGAGGGTAAGGCGGAGGAGAGAAAGGAGCAGGAGGAGGTTGGAGAGAGGGAGGTGAGGGTGACGAGGCAAGGGGAAGGTGATGGAAGAGTGGGTGTTGAGGGTGCAGGGAGTGCAGGGATAGACGCAATACAGACAAGTGTGTCAAGACCACAGCAGGGCAGCTGCATGCATACAGCTGAGCGAACGGGGCTCTCTGGTACCCACTTGGGGTTGGGGGAGGCCGTGGAGCCATTCAGAGCCGCCCAACAACAAATGGTGGCAGCAGCAGGAGAGAAGGGAGGGCAGGGCAGAGCACCAGGAAGCGTGAGGCCGAGCTTAAGCCTCATGCAGCAGGCTCTGCGACAGGGGGGGGAGAGAGGGGAGGGCGATGAGGAAATGGGTGAAGAAGGGGGTGAAAGCAAGGAAGGGCGAGCGGGGGGGGGCAGCGCTGCAGAGGGAGTTGGACGTGTAGCACGGAAGGGGGGAGTGGGTGAGGCTTTTGTTGAGGGTGCACGTGAAGAGATGAAAGGAAAGCAGCAGCAGGTGCAGGTAACAGAGGAGAAGGTGGTGAGGCCGAGGCACGAGGGGCAGCTGAAGGCGACAGGAGTGCAGCACGGCAGCGGCAGGCAGCAGCGAGTGCGTGCGAGAGGCAGCAGGGAGGAGGCAGCACGGGTGGCGTATGAATTCCTGTGGAAGGACGGCGCGCTGGAGGCAGCAGCGAGTGAGTGCGAGATGTAAAAGCTGCTGCGCTCGCAGCTGCAGGCCATCACCCACAACCCGCGTCTCTCTGACCAGGAGTGCGTGCGCCAGGTGAGACAGCAGCTGCTGTGACCTTGGAAGGTGCCCACTCACACACAGCCTGCAGTTGAAGGTGCATGTGGCAGGAAAGCAAGTAAACTTTTTAAACCTGACTTGCTACCTAGCTGGAAGGTAAGCAAACAAGCAACGAGGAGGTGCACGATTTATGATACAAGCAAGCGAGCCGTGTGCTGGGCGGATCACTCTCTCTGTACTTTCTCCTTAACAGCCGACATGGTCCGCTTAGAGTCAAAAGTTTCTGGGAGTCCTACGTGGAGTGTATGATTCCCTCCTCTTTGACCTGGTTCATGCCTCCCCCTCCTCCCTCGTGCAGGTGAAGCAGCTGTGTGTGATGATAGAGGAGCGGTTCAGCGAGCTGACTGGCCAATTTGACCCCAACCACGGGGCTTACTTTCGAGATCCCCGCATTATCAGGGCTATGGTGCACTTCCTGGGACACAGGGAGCTCCCTGATTGGTCCAGGGAGATCGACACTGATGTGTTGAGGGCTGAACAAAGGATCAGGTTTGGGAGACTTGGGCACAGGGGTGCAGGTGGATAGTAAGGGTGCATACCTGTGTGGACACAAATGTCTCAATGCCCCATTTCCCGAGTCGTGTCGAAACATTTTGTCAAATGCGTGTCACAAAAATCGAATTTATCGCGTAACTGGGCGATCAGGCGAAATTTTCAGATGTGCGCATCTGATTGGATTTCAAACATGACTGTATGTACACCTTTGTCTTCAACCGCCTGGCTGGGGTGGGGTTTCTCCGAGCGGAATTTTTTCCCGCGCGAGATTGGCATTGTGGGTGGGGTGTTCAGGTACATTGACATTTCCAGCCGTGTGTGCAGTGACGGGTCAACAATATGCAACTCGTCCGCGACGCCAGCGCGTTTCACGCTGACCAATGAAACATACAGTATTGGTCGCACAAGGGCGACACGCGTTTGTGACATTGTACATTTTATGCTGTTTATAGGCGTCACAAAACCATTGAGACACAAATGTCGACACAGGAATGCACCCTAATTGTGATAGCCTGAGGAACTTCATGTTAGGATAGGGCCTTTCTAAAGACAGCGGCTAAAATATTTTGGCGCTACAACATGGTTAGAACACAAACACACACATACATCAAAACTCTTGTATGTTGAGGGCAATGAATCCATGCAGCAGGCGGCCATTGGTGGAGCGTAGTTCATTGATCATCCTCACCCAGTTGGACCCCAGCGCCCCGATGAAGAAGTCGCACTGCGCTGCAGTGAGCAGCTCCGCCAGGCTGCTGCCCACCACCACGTGCCGCCCCGCTGCCTCCTCCACGTCCCAGTGCGGCACCGACACGTTGGTGCGCGCGTTGCTGGAGTGCAGGAAGGTCCAATCGCGATACTGCGCCGCCTCGTCTATCACCGTCTGCACCAATGCACAGAGAGAGATAGAGGTGTTGGCATGGAAGTGGGGAATAGCGGGCAGGGTGGCCATATCACAGTGCACCCAAAGCTTTCCACCCTCAATGCCATGCACATATGGTTATGCTACCCCAAACTTCCCTGCTCACACCCTCCATGCCTCCACCCGTAAAACTCCATAGCCCTATCCGCTCCACACTTCCCACACCCCTCCCCTCCCCCCCCCCCCCAGCGCACCTGCATTTCGGAGGAGAGCCAGATGTGGCGCAGGTGGGGCAGCGCGAGGCGCAGGCGGTAGGCCATCCACATGTGGGCGGCCAGCGAGTGCAGCGCCATCTCCCCGCCCTTGTCGCTCTGCCGCACATGCATGCTCACTATCGGCCGCGGCAGGTACGCCTCCCCCGCCCCCTCCCCGCCCCACTCATTGCTGGACCACGCTTCCCCCTCACCCACCCCACCTGTCGCCTGCTCTGGTGGCTGCGAGCTGCTGCCACTGTCGCTGCTGCTGCCATCACTACCGCTACTGCTGCCGCTACCAGCACTGGCACCAGCATGAGCAGTGCTGCAGGGTGCGCTGGTGGGAGCACATTGGCCCAGTCCCTCGCGAGCCCATGCAGTGGCCTCAAGAGTGCACCCCTGCTGCCCTTGCTGCTGCCATGGGAACACCCTGCTGCTCTCTTGAGAAGAGCTTGGGATTTCTGTTGCACCTGCTGCAAAGCTGCTGCCTCCTCCGTCTGCCGTTTCAGCAGCTGCACTTGTGTTACCAGGTGCACTTGTGTTACCAGGTGCACTTGAGTTACCAGCTGCATTTGTGTTACCAGCTGCATTAGTGTCACCAGCTGCGCTTGTGTTACTGGCTGCACTCGTGTTACTGGCTGCGCTCGTGTTACCGGCTGCGCTTGTGTTACCGGCTGCGCTCGTGTTACCGGCTGCGCTCGTGTTACCGGCTGCGCTCGTGTTACCGGCTGCGCTCGTGTTACCGGCTGCGCTCGTGTTACCGGCTGCGCTCGTGTTACCGGCTGCGCTCGTGTTACCAGCTGCGCTCATGTTACCAGCTGCGCTCGTGTTACTAGCTGCACTCGTGTTACCAGCTGCGCTCGTGTTACCAGCTGCGCTCGTGTTACCAGCTGCGCTCGTGTTACCGGCTGCGCTCGTGTTACCAGCTGCGCTCGTGTTACCAGCTGCGCTCGTGTTACCAGCTGCGCTCGTGTTACCAGCTGCGCTCGTGTTACCAGCTGCGCTCGTGTTACCAGCTGCGCTCGTGTTACCGGCTGCGCTCGTGTTACCGGCTGCGCTCGTGTTACCAGCTGCGCTCGTGTCTACAATCTCCAGCAACCTTCTCCTGCTGCTGCTGGCACCACCATCCCCACCGCTGGTAGCACGATCAGAGCTGCAGGGGGGAGCATTTCTTTGCAATGTCTCTTTCAGGTGAGGGTGGGAGCGCAGGAGGGAGGATTGGAGGGCGGAGGAGGAGGAGAGGCGGGAGGCGATGGAGAGGGAGAGGGAGGAGTGGCGCAGGCGGTTGGTGAGGTGGCAGAGGTAGGGCGAGGGCCAGCGCAGCATGAAGCGCAGCGACTGTGCCCGCCACCAGTGCACCTGGCAGAGCGAGAGGGCGGCGTGGGGACATGGAAAGAGGGGTGTGGGGACATAGAAAGAGGGGCGTGGGGACATGGAAAGAGGGGCGTGAGAGAGGCATGCGGAGGTGGGAAGAAGGGCGTGCGGAGCGTCTGGATTAGGCAGGAGAGACTACGACATGTCCTGCCTGCGCTCTAAGCACGTACGATAGCAGCTGTGGTGCACTACCAGGCGATGCCATGCTGCGGTGCACTACCATTTTCTCACATGCGGCATGCCATCACACATGCGACATGCCATCTCACATGCGGCATGCCATCGCACATGCGGCATGCCATCTCACATGCGGCATGCCATCTCACATGCGGCATGCCATCTCACATGCGGCATGCCATCGCACATGCGGCATGCCATCTCACATGCGGCATGCCATTGCACATGCCGCATGCCATCTCACATGCGGCATGCCATCGCACATGCGGCATGCCATCTCACATGCGGCATGCCATCTCACATGCGGCATGCCATCTCACATGCGACATGTCATCTCACATGCGGCATGCCATCTCACATGTGACATGCCATCTCACATGCGACAGGCCATCGCACATGCGACATGCCATCTCACATGTGACATGCCATCTCACATGCGACATGCCATCTCACATGCAGCATGCCATCTCACATGCGCCATGCCATCTCACATGCGGCATGCCATCTCACATGCGGCATGCCATCTCACATGCGGCATGCCATCTCACATGCGGCATGCCATCTCACATGCGGCATGCCATCTCACATGCGGCATGCCATCTCACATGCGGCATGCCATCTCACATGAGGCATGCCATCTCACATGCGACATGCCATCTCACATGCGGCATGCCATCTCACATGTGACATGCCATCTCACATGCGGCATGCCATCTCACATGTGACATGCCATCTCACATGCGACATGCCATCGCACATGCGACATGCCATCTCACATGCGGCATGCCATCTCACATGCGACATGCCATCTCACATGCGGCATGCCATCTCACATGCGGCATGACGTCAGCCTCTTCCGCCATCTTGCCCTTCACCTCCACTGTGTTGGGCCGCTCATACCATGCACCCCACCACCGCCTGCACACCCACACACAGGCACACCCACACACAGGCAAGTCGAGGGAAGGGGATCAATGGAGTGCGTTGTTAGTCGCTCAAACCACAGCAGCACAGGCATGCACCGCTGCACATGCACGCACGCGCGCGCGCGCGTGTGTGTGTGTGTGTCCGCGCGCGCGCAAATGCGTATGCGTGTGAGTGTGTGTTTGTGTGTGTGTGCATGTGTGTGTGTGTGTGTGTGCGCACGCGCGCGCGCCTGCATTTCCAGGCGTGTGCCTGTGTGCACAACTGTAAGTGCGCATGCGCGTATGCATGACTGCATGCACGGCGCAGCACGGCTCAGGTGCGCGTGTGCGTGAGCGCACGTGGGTGTGCATGAGTGAGCGCATGCGTGAGCGTACATGTGCATGCATGCAAGGTGCAGCAGGGGACAGCATGACTCACTTGGCCACTGCAGCCTCGAGCCACAGAGCGCTGTACGGCTCCCCATGGAAGCACACCACGCGCCTCTCACTCGCCAGCACGCCGTCCCTCGCTGGCGGCTCGTGCGACGCACACTCACCCACCTGCCCTGCTGCTGCTGCATCCGCTGCTGCCCTCTCACAGTGTGGTGAGACGAGCGGGAAGAAATAGCAGTGGAAGGACGCCAGGGCGCCAGTAGCTGAAGAAGGAAGAAGTGGGAGAGTGGATGAGGGGGGGAAGTGGACATGACATGAGGGAGAGGGACGGGGAGCGGGTGGTGGAGGACATGAGGCAGTTCAGTGCAAGGCGCACAAGGAGAAGCGATGAAAAGGACATGGCCAGGAGATCATGGGACGAGAGTGGGTACAAGAAGAGGCATGGAAGGCGCAACAGCCAAAGCAGCAATGACACCATTTTCCTCTCCCCATGCACAAGACGAGGGGACGAAGTAGCAGTGGAAGGACGACAGGGATCCTGTGGCTGCTGGACGGATAGGACGGGCAGTGGGTGGAAAGGGGGTAGTGAGACAATGAAAGGGAGACGTGGAGTGGAGAGCCGTGGGCAGGTGATCAAGAGCGGAGTGGCGAGTAGAGGAGAGACGTGGGAGGAGCAACCGCCACAGAAGCAACAACACCAATCTCCATTCTCGTCCCTCCCTGCACAAGGCGCCCGCCCGCCCACCGTTGCACTCGGCATGGTTGGCGCGGTCAAAGGAGGCGGTGGGCACGAGCACGCGAGAATGCTGCATGGCGAGGCTGAGAGCGGCGCTCATGATGTGCAGCTGCGACCCCAGCCCATGCTGCGACGCCGGCCACTCAATGAGCAGCAGCCTCTGTGTGGTACAGTCGCCCGCCGGGAACTGGTGCTGCCAGATGTCCCTCTGTGCCTCGCGCGTTCGCCCCAGGTTGCTTGCATCTGACCCGCGCACCTTGGGTGAAGAAAGGGAGGGGGAGAGGGGAGCGGGAAGTAGAGTTGCACTGGGATGGTGGTGAGGCTGGCAGGGCAGGCGAGGAGAGATTGTGGGTGCGGGATGGGAAGGGCGTGCGTGGATGATGAAGGGAGCTGGGGCCAACTGGGGCCAGATGGAAGAGCAGTCGCAGGCTGACAGCAGCAGCAGGCGTAGGCAAGCGCAGTGCACATGGAATCACCAGCATCACTCTGTCTCTGCCGCTTCTTGCCTGCCCGACCCATGCTCCTCTCTGCACCGAGCAACCACCTGGACTCTAGTCTAGCCCACTGCATCTGCCACCACATAGTGCCAGCTCGAGCACTCAGCCCCTCTGCCCTCACCCCTCTGCCCTCACCCCTCTGCCCTTCATTCCCCGACCCTCGCCAACAGCTCCCCCCCGCCTGTCCCCCACCCCCCACACACTACCCCATGCCCTCCTGCCCGCAGCTCGCCCACATTGCAGGCGAGGGGTCTGTTTGCTGCCCGCTCTCCTGCCCTGCGCCCGGCACCCATCAGGTGCGCATGCCATGACCCCTGCACTGCACAACGGTGTGTCTACCGCCCGCCACTCACCCACGGTGGCTGCGGGTGTGCCCCCCGCGCCCACCCCTGCGCCTCCCCCTGCGCGCCCCGCTTCTCCACCTTGTGGCGCCACGCGGAACGCACGCTGCACGCCTCCAGGTGCGGCGCGGGCGGCACGCTGGGCGGTAGCGCGACGGCGGCGGGGGGAAGGGGTGACACGCCCTGCAGGCCATAGGCGGCCTCCCATGCCTGGCGGGGGTGAAGGTTGGGGGGGTTGGGGGAGAAGGGCGAGAGGACGGTGGGTGGAGGGTGGAGGAGGAAGGAGAGAGGACGAGGTGAAATCAGTGGCCCTGCAAGCGGTGGGATGCGCATACAGTAAGAGGGGACGGATCGGGAGGGTGGGGGGAAGGTCGTAAATCCTCGTAGGCAGATTTCACGAGCGCGCCCTGGCGAGTATTCAGGGGAGTGGGCGGGAAGTGCGGATAGGGAGCACGCGCGACGTGCGGCAGGGGAGACGAGTCGGCGCGCTGGCTGCATCATCCCTGCACCGCTGCGCCGTGCGCGGTGTGGGAGGTGAGAGCTGATTCGAGAGAGAGGGAGAGAGGAGGGAAGGCTAGCGCACACGGGCTGTTTCCAGCCACTCTTCCGCGAGGCCGTACCCGATACAAGGACATGGCGCGCTCCAGTCCCGGCTCCGCCTGCGCGTGCGTGCAGCCGACGTGGCTCAGCACGGCGAGGAGGCAGAACGCGACGAGAAACGCCATCGCCGCGACACACGAGGGAAAACGCGGAGCCGGCCGGGCTGGTGGCGACGGCGATGCGCGGAGAGGACGAAGTCGCGCCTCAAGTTGCGCAAGCTCGCTCGGCTCGCCAGCTAGGCGGCCGGCAGGTGAACTCCATCAATAGTACTGTGGCCTATTTTACTCGGGTGGGTTTGGTGAAATTGGACTAGGTGGTGAGCAGGGCTGTCGATTCGTTTTGGGGCCCCCGGGCAAATCAGGGGGCTTGCCACGTGCGATCCTGTATCTAGCAGGATTGGGGCGAGTCTTGGCCCTTTAGGCGTCAGGTCTGGAAAATTTTCCACCCTTTGAATCAGGTTTGGCGCGTCATATTTTGCTGCTTCATTTTAACTACAATGACTACAACTACAAACTAATACAAGCAAACACTACAAAAAAAATACTTGGCGTCATTTCTCTATGCACGCTTAGAAGGCTTCCTAGCCTTGGCAGCAGTGAAGATCTTGTGCACTTCTACCCACTCCACAGGATATTCAAGCATCTTCACAGTCATCAGCTGATCTAGCTTAACATCACTAAGAACAGTCCTGTTCCATGATTTTATTATGTTCTGCCTACTGAAGCCCCTTTCGCACTCAACAGTGCTAAGGGGCAGGACAGCAAGTGCACACCACGAGGGTGGGGCAATCATCCCTCCAGTCTGAGGTGCGTAGCACGTTGGTGAGGGCTTGCTAGAAAGTCAGGTCCTTGAACTTTTTGAACATTGTGGCAGCAAAGTGTCAGAATATTATGCTCTAGCCTGTAGTGGGGTGCTCTATAGCGAGTACAACCCTTCTAGGGTTTGCTATTTGTATCCCATTCTTGCTAGTTCAACCCTCTTCTTTGTTCTAAACTTTCACATGCTATCAGAGCAGGTCGATCCCCTTGGATCGATCCTGTGGGTGGGCTTACCACCTCGTTGCTTCCGCTGCAACTACTACTGCTACTCTATGTGCCGCACGCCCCGTGGCGTGCGGCAGTTTTTCTTCCCGCCGTGCGCCCCGAGGCGCGCGGCGATTTTCTGCCCGCCGTGCGCCCAGAGGCGCGCGGCGGTTTTCTGCCCGCCGTGCGCCCCGAGGCGCGCGGCGGTTTTCTACCCGCCGTGCGCCCCGAGGCGCACGGCGGTTCTCTGCCCGCCGTGCTCCCCGAGGCGCGCGGCGGGTTTCTGCCCCGTCACGCCGCGCGTCGCTCTCGGGAGGCGCTGCGACGGGCGACGGGGACCCGCGCGTCGCTCTCGGGAGGCGCTGCGACGGGCGACGGGGACCCGCGCGTCGCCCCCCCCCGTCGCCGCTCCTATCGGCCCCGTCGCCGCCGCCAGCGGTCTCGTCGTCGCCGCCAGCGGACCCGTCGCCGCCCTTGCACGGCCCTGGCCCCGCCCCGGCCATTTCCCGTCGCCCGTCGCGTGCGGCCCCCGAGGGTCGCCTCGACGGGCGACGGGAGGGGCGACCTGGGGGAGGGGGGCGGGCGCCGCCCCTTCTGCTGCTTGTTTTGGCGCCCTGGGAGGCCGCGCATCGGTCCCCCCCCTCTCCCCCCCGTAACCTCCCTACCCGCCATCCCGCTCTGCCCTGTGTTAGGGTTTGGGGGTGGCGAGTAGGGGGTGGCGGGTGTGTAGTCTCTCCTGCTCCTCCTCCTCCTCCTCTGTCTCCCACTGCTGCAGCTGCCGCTGAGGGGGGTGGGTGTGTGGGAGTCGACGGAGTGGTGCTAGGGGGTGGGATGTGAGTGACCCTAGGGGTGCAGTAGGGGGTGTGTGTCAGGGGGGGTGAGACTGTTTGGGAAGCTGAACGGGGGTTGCCGTCGTGTCGCCAGCAGCACCTGTAGTCCGAGGAGTTGCTCCGGTAGCCCAGTCGTAGCCACCTGTGCCAGTCGCCCGTGGGTCCGTTGCTCGTCTGCCGCTACTTTAGCCGCAGGGCCAGTTACTCCAGTAGTCCGGAGAGTTGCTCCGGTAGCCACTGGGCCAGTGTGCCTCCTGTTGCCCGTGTGTCTGAGGACATCGCCCCCAGGGACCGATCGAGCACGCCACCGTACACGCCATTGCGACGAATGCAGCTGCCGCGCCGTTTAAGGGGCGCTGCTTTGCTTGCAATCGGCCGGGCCATCGCAAGAGCGAATGCCTAGAGGAGCTGAGGCGCCGCGGAGCAGAGCAGGGAAAGGTGTCTCCAAGGCAGGGAAACGCCAGTAGTCAGTAGGAATCGGGCCAACTAGTGACGGGACTGCCTGCTCGCCCAACCGCACTGACCCTCACCGAGTCACAGTACCGATTCACGCCATCAATCGGGCTCGGACGAATAAGGAGGGTACAGCGACGGATTGCCCAATGTTGATCCACGGGAAAATACAGGGAGCAGCAGTGAAGAGTTTTATCAACGGATGAGCAAGTCACAGTTTAGTTAATACCGCGATCGCACGGAAACTGCAGCTGATACTTAGCCGGTGTTTACCGGACATAGATGCACGCTTAGTTGACGGCACACCACTGGCCATACGGGAAAAGGTTGAAAGAGTAAAATTCCGTGGCGGGGGGAACTTCGGTTTTACACAAGAAATGCTCGCGACGACATTGGATGGGCACGACATTTTACTGGGACGTGATTGGCTACGACGGTATAACCCGCGAATTGACTGGACGACGGGTAGTTGCACTGTGCGAAGTAGCGGTAACTGGGTTGAGCTACCTCGCTGGCAGTCGCCCGATTCTTCAACGGTCCATGTCAACGCCATCATTATGAAACGGGCTGTCGCTGCTGGAGCTGACGTGTACGCGGAGGATATCGCAGTGGTAGGGGAAGCCGAGCAGCCGGGTGATTTTATTAACTGCTGGCAGCTGTACCGCCTGAACTGCAGGAACTGTTGAAACAGCATCCAAGGATGTTTCTCGATGACTTACCGGAGGGACTGCCACCTCAGCGGGCACACGATCACCGAATAGAACTAGAATCGGGGGCACAGCCAATTGTACAGCGTCTCTTCAGATTGACAGAGCTCGAGCTCGACGAACTGAGGAAGCAGTTAGATTACCTGTTAGAGAAGAAATTCATCCGACCGAGTTCGTCACCGTTCGCCGCACTAATACTGTTCACACCAAAAAAAGACGGAGGTTTTCGCATGTGCATCGATTACAGAGCATTGAACAGAGTAACCGTCAAGTCAAAATACCCCATTCCCCACGCCGACGAACTGATAGATCAACTGCGCACAGCACGGTCTTTCAAAACTCGATTTACGGGGGGGTTACCATCCGATTCGAGTCGAACCATTGGACTACGCCAAGACGGCTTTTAGGACTAGGTACGGGTCATTCGAGTATACCGTAATGCCATTCGGGCTGACCAATGCACCGGCGACATTTCAGATGACCATGGATAAGGCGTTTAGGCCACTCATAGATGAATGCGTGATAGTTTACCTCGACGACTTCCTCGTCTACAGTCTGTCAGAATGTTATCTTATGGGGTGCTCTATAGTGAGTACAACCCTTCTAGGGTTTGCTATTTGTATCCTCATTCTTGCTATTGCAATCCTCTTCTCTCTTCTAACTTTCACATGCTATCAGAGCAGGTCGATCCCCTTGGATCGATCCTGTGGGTGGGTTACCACCTCCTCGCTTCCGCTGCAACACCTACACTACTCTCTGAGCCGCACGTGCCATGGTGCGTGCGACACTTTTTCTTCCCGCCGTGCGCCCCGAGGCGCGCGGCGGTTTTCGGCCCGCCGTGCGCCCCGAGGCGCGCGGCGGTTCTCTGCCCGCTGTGCGCCCCGAGGTGCGCGGCGGGCTTCTGCCCCGTCGTTCGCCGCGTCGCCCTCTGGAGGCGCCGCGACGGGCGACAGGGACCCGCGCGTCGCCCCCTGTCGCCCGTCGTGGCCTGCGCGCGGCCCGTTCAGGCAGCGCGCGGCCCGTACGGGCTGCGCCAGTCCCGCGCGTGGCCCGTACGGACGGCGCCAGGCCCGCGCGTGGCTCGGGCCGCCTGCGGGCGGCTCGGGCCGCCTGCGCGCCGCTCGGGCGTCTGCACCAGGCCCGTGGTGGGCCCCTTCCTCGATACCCCTGCACTCCTCGCTGTCCCCCCGTGCTTCTACTGGCGCCCCACTCCTCCTACACCCCTTTCTCCTGAACTAGGGTTTGGGGGTGAGGGGTATGGGGGTGCCCTCATGGTGTGCCGTTCCCTGCTCCTCCTCCTCCTCCGTCTCCCTGTGCTGCAGCTGCCGCTGAGGGGGGGTGGAAGTGTTGGAGCCGGTGGAGTGGTACTAAGGGGGGGTGAAGGGGGAGTGGAGCTAGCGGTGTAGCATCGGGTGTGTGCCAGGGGGAGTGGGATAGTTTGGGGAAGCTGCGTGGAGGTTGCCGTCGTGTCGCCAGCAGCACCTGTAGTCCGGGGAGTTGCTCCAGTAGCCCAGTCGTAGTCAGCTGTGCCAGCCGCCCGTGGGTCCGTTGCTCGTCTGCCTCTAGTTTAGCCGCGGGGCCAGTTACTCCAGTATTCCGGAGCGTTGTTCCGGTAGCCGCCGTGCCAGCGTGCCTCCTGTTGCCCGTGTGTCTGCAGCTTCAGCCGTCGCCTCCTTTCTCCTCTCCTCTCACTCTCTCTCCTCCTCACGTGCCCGTTGTGACTACCACTAGCTTTGCTCATAGTTGTGAACTTTAAACTATTGCTTCTTGAACTTGTGCTCAGAATGTGTGGTGACATTGTGATCCACCCTGAGCTTGTACTGCTTTGCTTGCTCTGCTGATTACACCCCACTTTGGCTATGGGGGTGTGTCAGAATGTCATCTTATGCTCTAGCCTGTAGTGGGGTGCTCTATAGCGAGTACAACCCTTCTAGGGTTTGCTATTTGTATCCTCATTCTTGCTATTGCAATCCTCTTCTCTCTTCTAACTTTCACACAGTCACGATAAGCAGCAGCACTTAGC